ATCTGATGCATGTCGAATTGGATTGATCCGAGCGATGGAGTAAAGATGTGCTGAGTAAGCCGAGAAAAAGAATTGCTGAAATTCAGGAGAAACTTCATGCTATACAGTTGGGTCCCGTGACTGTACAAAGTAAAGAGGAAATTTTTGGGGATATATTTAAGTCGTGCAACCCGACCCCGGATGAGATGAGAGAGGTTGTGGAATTAATGAACCCCAGAGTATCAGACGAGGCAAATCAAATGTTGATCCAACCTTATACTTCTAAAGAGGTAACTGCAGCTCTCTCTCATATGGCTCCTCTTAAATCTCCTGGACCAGATGGTATGCCACTTATTTTTTACCAAAAATATTGGCGTATTATTGGCCGAGAGGTTACTAAATGCATTCTTGAATTTTTAAATAAGAGGCGCATCCCTGAAAATCTTAACTTCACCCACATTGTGCTCATTCCTAATGTGAAAAATCCTAAACTTGTCGTTGATTTTCGTCCCATTAGTCTTAGCAATGTCATCTATAAAATTGGCTTTAAAATGATTACTAATCGTATCAAGTCTATCTTAAAAAATATTATTTCTCCCACCCAATCTGCTTTTATTCCAAACCGGCTTATCACCAATAACATTCTTGTCGCCTTTGAAGTCAATCATTTTATTAGGACTAAAATTAGGAAAAATAATAATTTTATGGCCGTAAAATTGGATATCAGCAAAGCGTATGATCGAATCAAATGGGGGTTCATACGTCAAGTTTTGATGAGATTTTGTTTCCATGACTCTGTTGTCGAACTTATAATGCTTTGTGTATCTACTGTTACTTACTCTTTTCTTGTGAATGGGTCACAATGTGGATTTATCCGTCCGTCCCGCGGCCTCCGTCAAGGAGACCCACTGTCGCCATATTTATTCATTATGTGTGCAGAGATTCTGGTAACGATGATTGAGCACGAGAATAATAGGGGGAGTTTGGAAGGGATTAAAATTCCATCGGGGGCTCTTGTGATATCTAACCTTTGTTTTGCGGATGATACGCTCATCTTCTGTCACGCGAAAGTGAGTGCAGTAGCTAGTCTGAAATATGTGCTGGAAAGGTATGCTAGAATATCAGGTCAGATAATTAATGTTGATAAATCCTCTATGAATTTCAGCCCAGGAACTTCGGAGGATTTGAAGCATTCCATTCAGCATATCCTTGGCTTTAAAATTGTCGAGGCTCATGACAAGTACTTAGGAATGCCGGCAATGGTTGGTCGTTCAAAAAAGGAAATTTTTAGTTTCCTTCGGGATAGGGTATGGACTAGAATCAAAGGTTGGGGTGAAAAACAGTTGTCAAAAGCGGGAAAAGAGGTTCTTATTAAAGCCGTTCTCCAATCCATTCCGACATATTCAATGGGTTGTTTTGTTCTGCCCAGTACGCTGATTAGAGATATTGAAATGGTAATCAGGCGATTATGGTGGGGTGATGGGAGTACTAATAATAAGATGAACTGGATCTCACGGAGTCGACTATGTGCCCCGAAGAACGCTGGAGGAATGGGATTTAGGGATCTAAAGAGTTTCAACTTGGCACTTCTAGCTAAACATGGATGGCGTCTCCTTATGTGCCCCCACTCATTAGCGGCGAGACTTCGTAAAGCTCGTTATTATCCAACAATGGAATTTCTGAAAGCAGACCTAGGGGTGCGACCTTCCTCCATTTGGCGGAGTATACTCCATGCTAGACCTTTTCTGGAAAATGGTTTAAGGAAAAGAATCGGCAATGGTAAGTCTACGGCAATATGGGGAGATGTCTGGCTCCACACAGATGGAGCCTTCAAAATTATTACAAAGCGCCCTATTCACACATCTTTCCCGGATAATCGCAGGAAAGTGTGGAATGAAAATATTATAAATAAAGTGTCGGACCTTGTGGGTTATCGCAGGAAAGTGTGGAATGAAAATATTATAAACAAAGTGTTTTGGGAAGTTGATAAGGAGAGGATTTGGCGAATTCCGATAGGTAATTTTGAAGCGGAAGATCGTTATGTCTGGCACTACTCCCGGAATGGGAATTTTGATGTCAAATCATGTTACCATAATACATTTGCAGCTAGTTATCGTGTTAATGGTGGGGCTAATGGTTCTGGAAGTGGAGTGGAGAGAAAACAATGGAGTCTTATTTGGAATATGAAACTTCCCCCAAAAGTTCGAATTTTTGTGTGGCGGGCGTGTAATGGAATTTTACCAACAGCGCATGAATTATATCGGAGAAGAGTTAGTAATAGTGCTGCATGTATTCGGTGTGGTGTTACGAATGAAACAATTATGCATGTGGTCAGTGTATGTAAGGGGATGGATAGTATTTGCAACCAAACCAAAGATCCAACCTTGTGCCTACAAGGTTTCGCGGCCGACGTAAGACGCGCGAAGCGCCACCGCCGACATGATGTTGCTGGCGTCGTCGGTCGCCGTCGACGTGGGCTTGACCGCCGCCGGCCAAACCGCACTCGATATCGAAGGCCGATTGGTCCGCAATTTGAAAAACATCTACTTGAAGTGCACGACTTTTTATTACCGATTGGTCCGCAATTAGTGACATGCATCAAAGCCAAGGCAACTACACAGACGACTACAAGAAGCAGGCGGAGGCGATCCGAGGCGACGGTGACGGAGTTGAGGCGTTAAAATATATTTGTTGAACGCATAACATATTAATATTACTCTATTACACAATAATAATGACTTTTATTGTGTTAATATTAGTGTGCTAGAGATTAATATTAAACTGAATCAATGTGACATGAGTGCGTCAGCAATCAAAACCATGGCGTCAGCAAGGATCCCGACGAGTTTATCCCCACTCGCGAACGGCGAATTATTATGTGTTTTTTTGCTTGTATGTATC